AAATAAATATCGTCTCATCCTTCAGTTATATATTCCTTGATAAATTGCCCTTTTTAATAACTGAGATAATCAATTCATAGTTTTTTGACGATTTATGTTAAAATAAAAAAAAAATATTTTTAGTTTTAAAATAAGCTATTTTTTGCAATTTGCAATATTTTTATAACAAATTAAATTTCAGATAAGTTAATTTACGTAGAATGCTATAAAAAATATTGATCCTTCTGTTGTATGTAAGAAATAAAAGTGCCAAAATTATTGGATGTATTTCTCAACCAATTCTCTATCTTGATCTTATTCATGCAATCTACATATGTTTATGAAAGTATGTATATATTGTGTATCAGTATTATTGCCGTTCTTTCTCTTTCTCCCTTTTCATCTGCATATTTCTTCAACTATTCTAGCATCAATTTTTTTTTTTTTAAATACCGTCTTCGAAAAATACCATTTCAATCTCTTTCGGACACGAGAGAGAAAATAATTTCTTCTAATGCTATGTTCGCTAATCTATACGAAAAGAACGTGACGTCCCGAAGGATCCTTGAGAAAGCCGCTATTACGGCCGGTCAAGCCTACGCTCTAGGCCAGGGGCTAGGCTAGGCTATTTCCGCCTTTCAGCTTATGGACCGAAATAGTCGTAGAAAACTTGTGAACAAGAAACCGTTGGGACTATCCACGAGGATTCCCGGTGTGTCTGGCTAGTACAGAATTCATCTTATTTCTTTTCATCATCACACAAGTTCTCGCTGTTGCGTCTGTTTAGTTTTCCAAACACATCGAAATGAGGGACAGCAGATGTAATCTAACAGACGTCTCATCGAATCCACGGATTATATAATATATCCCTCTCTAAGATAAACTGACGCGGCGATGAGAATATATAAATAGATGGCTTTTATATATAAAAAGTATAAGGAATCAGTTTTAATTTATTTTGTTATTTTGGCTATTGTAATTTTTGTAAATTTTTATATAACAATGCAGAGCGCGGGAAAAAATCACGTTCAATATATCAATATTATTCAATATATATTACTCATTTTTATTCCAACAGTTCGTTGCCACGTTATTTATTGTGGCAATTATTTTCTTCTTAATTGCGTGTTTTTTAATCGATTATAACTATTTTCTATCTCATAAATATATATTTTCACTAAAAATAAAATATAAAAAATATATATCGCATATATAAAATAGACTAATATGTGAATAAGGTCAATATATGTAAACTTCAATACAAGTAAATATATAAGTCCGTCAAGAATTATAACTGATGTGGACACAGCTAATATTTTTTAATACAGATATTTTTTTTTTTTATTTTTATTTCCTAAGTGTCTAAAAAATAGATTAAAGAATATAATTCAAACTCCAATTTTTTTTCTTCGTTTGTTAACGACAAGTGGTGAAGAGCGCCTACGTTTACTCGCGCTCCTCCACTTCTGCGGTCTGTGCACAACGGCTATTTCTACTATCGTCGTTCGCGAACGGTGCGACAGGTGCTAAAGGCATGCCAGGCGGCGCGATGCCGCATCGGCGAGGATTTCGAAACCCGCCGAGAGAAGCCTGCGACGGAGTATTTTCAATCGTCTCTACGGTGCTGGGCGATTCCTCCGTCGTCCTGGGAACGGCACCGGACCGATAGGTGAAGGCGAACAGATAGGTGGGTTCGCAGAGCATATTTCTGGCAGTCACGAGATACGATTTTACGGGCGGCGAACGAGCTCGGTCGCGAGGCACGAGAGAAAGAGAGAAGCGAAAAGAACAAGAGAAGCGTGCGACGAAGATAAAGGATACGGGTATGCATGAGATAAACAGGGATAAGGGATGTGGAGGGAGAGGGTAAACTCGAAGTGGAAACAGACACGCGTTGCTTTCGGCAGATCCGACATTGTCGGGCGACAGCCAATTTTCAAGGAAATTCCATTAATACTCGTGGCTTTGTCCCACTTCGAATTGATGACTCGTCTTCGTTCCGCACGTTACATATTAAGACAAATCATTTTATGTAAGATATTCCTGATTCATCGTTTTTCATTTCGAATGCCCGATCCTTGAATTTGCAGCCAATTCTTCCTTAGCGCTCTTATCTTTTGCATTATTTCTTAACATTATAAATATTCGGAAGATCAAGTGGATCAAAATTTCGCGAAAGTGTACTACTTAAAATCACAATAATAACGAAGTTATATCTGCATTCAATAGAATAATGATAATAGAATAGATATTAATAATAATAGAATAATGATTTTTATATCCCCCTCCTCAGGATTTAAAAAATACTAAATTACTGATTTATTTAATAATAACTCGACATTGAAATAATCTTTTTCTCATTTATATTTCTTATTAAAAAAAAAACTTGAAACATTTTGTAAAAGACGGCGTATTTGACGTTGAATTGATCAATGGTGTATAAAGACATGTAGAAAGATTGTAATAGCGACAAAATAAATTTTACAAATCGCATATGATATATTTCGCGATGATATGCAATCATATTTTTGCATGATGGATGTTTTCGATAAATTGAAAATTATAAATGTCTCTTGAGAGAAGGGAACATCTTCAACTTCAAATATGCGCTATGTGTGTACATCTGCTAGACACGGTTGTTTGCGTTGCGATTCTTATTTTATAAGTTTAAAAATTATCATTCGCCTAAATGTATATATATATA